AGCCTCCCTGCTCGCTTCCAGCTGCCTGGCTGCCGGCCGCCATCTTGGCTGACAGTTAATTTGCATAAGGATATGCTGATTAGCCAATGGGAAGGGTAGCGTCGTACGCCAATTACCATGTTTCTCTTTTATTAGTGTAGATTGTATTATTTCCCATACTATGACTGTTAAACCTACTTTTATCCCACCCTGTATTTTCTAGTAGTGAGTAATGAGTAAGGTAATTAATGAGTAGTAGTTACTCTTATTAAAGTTGGTTGAATCACAATTATTAAGTATTTATGCCTTCTAATAAAAAAGAAACTAGTTTATTCATTGATTCAACAAATATTCCCCACTGTTCTGGACCTGGAGATATAGTGAGAGAATAGGTACTTGGGTAGTTTGTTTTTAGATAAAAGATTTTGTTACAGTATACTATTTTGATTTCCTTCTAAGTTATCAAAAATTAGATTGTAAGTATATTCTATTTTGCTATTTGAATATTTATGATTTTAAAGAATTTTATACATATATGTGAAATACATTCACATGTATTCTAAATATATTTTTTAAATATAAACATATATATAGTTTTCTGACTCTTAGAGAGAAAGAAAAGCTTCTTGAAATAGCTTGTTGGGATTGGTTTTACTTATAACATAATTTAAACATACTGATTATGTAAGAACTAGTAATATGTAAGAATAGTAGCCCGGTGAAATTCGTGCGTGCACATTAAAAGGGAATTAATTAGCAGAAATATTTTAATATTGCTATTTGCCCTTTCTCTATAATAGAAGTGTGAGAGATGAAAGGAAATTAGTAAAATGTATATGAAAATAATATGTACATTTATTAATAAATAAACAGTAACAAAAGGATATAATGACAAAAACATGATATGAAAACAACAAAAACATGATATGAAAACAACAAAAACATGATATAAAAACAACAGTGATGCAAACAATGACTGATAAAGTGATTCAACTATTCACTATAAGCAGAGTCCTTGGATCTCATATTTGTTGTAAGAGACAACTTTCTGAAACATCCCCAAACATTACAGTACTTTAAACTCGTTTGTACTATGGCCGATCCCATAGCATGTGGTACAATACTGAGACATTGTCGAAAATCCCCTCCAAGAAGAACTTTCCCGCCAAATACAACATTCAAATTCATAATTTCTCTTAGTAATCTGTCTATGGCGTTTATAGTATGACTAGATGCCATGATGCATTCATCAATAATGAGAAGTTGGGCCTTTTTAATAGTTTTAGCAACTTCACTGTTTATATTGAGTCTAGAAATTGAAGCTTCATTTAATGGAATTGGTCATTTATATTGGGAATGAAATGTTCTTCCACCGAGAATTAAATTTATAGCAATTTCTATAGATGCTGTGGGTAAAACAGTACCACCACAACTTGTAATATAATGTATTAAAACTTCATTGTGGGGAGCCGCTACAGTGTTTTGGACAGGTTCAAGCGTTGGACTGATGAAAGGGCACAGTCCTCTCATTGCCACGTGCAAGTCCCAGCTTGGAGGGCAGGGCCCTCCCAGCACAATTACAGCCAACAGCTATAATTGTAAGCTTGAACCTATGGTCCAAACACATGGCCCCACGTGCCTGAGTGATGTAGGCTTAATAGAGTTCAGGTGCATGTAGTTGAGTAGGATTGAAACCCAGGAGAATGTTGTAAACATCTTTGCCTCGTGGCATCTGCTATAAAATAAAGACACCGCTGTGGGCGTGGTCGCTCTCTGAGAAGCAGCGTCCCACGAGACCCAGCTTTCATTCTCTTGTCTGTCTTTTCTAAGCCTTTCAGCCGCCCCCACTCAGGTTCACCCTTGGCCGTGCTGGCGTGGCACACTTTATAAAGATCTGCCTCCATGCTCCGAGGGCGGGTTCCTGCCCTTACCGGAAACAGCTCCGGGAAACAGCTTGGGGGAGGGTACAGCCTTTCCAAGATAACCCCTGCAGGACTGACTTCCTTCTGGTTAGTCGCACCTCGGGTCGTGATGTTACACCCAGGGTTTTTATATAAGTAGATACTCATGACAGCTATTTTAGTGTTTTATATTTAAATTACTGTTTAGAATAAGTGATTAATGAATAAAATTTCATATTAAGTACTTAGATTCCATCTATAACTTAGGATCTCATTTTAGTTTTTTGGGGAACATACCTTAATAAATAAATTGTTGAGTATTAGTTTTCTCAGTACTTCAAAATTCCTGTTTCACCAAAGATTTAGCAGTTTGTACATGCTTAAACTCTTAAATAACTGTTGTGCCTTTTAGAAACTTTCACAGAAAAGTTACATTAACTGTACACACCCAGTTGATAACTTCTATTTTTATTTATTTTTAATCTTTTTTAAAAATATATTTTTATTGATTTCAGAGAGAAAGGGAGAGGGAGATAGAGATAGAAACATCAATGATAAGAGACAGTCATTGATTGGCTGCCTCTTGCATGCCCCCTATTGGGGATCGAGCCCACAACCCAAGCATGCCCTTGACTGGAATCGAACCTGGGACCCTCCAGTCCACAGGTCAGTGCTCTATCCACTGAGCCAAACCAGCTAGGGCCAGTTGATAACTTTGATAGTACTGAGAATTTCATAAAGAAATGTCCCAGTTTGCCTTAAGAAGGACATATAGTCACTGGTGAATTTATAAATCTGCCTTGTAAATTTAGAAAGTCAGAAATAATATAAAGTTTTAAAAGAAAGAAGCTTTTAATTGGATTAAACAACTTTTCATGAAGTTTATGAAAATACTTCATTTAAATTTTAGTATTAAGTCCATTGTAAAATTTTGGTTTATCATTTTGACCTATGATAATGTTATGTTAGTATTGAATCTGGACTTAAAACACTTTTATAGGAAATACTAGAAAGGAATTACACTTCCTTTGTGGTATAGACCGAATAAATTTTTTCAAGATTTAGACATGTGATACTAAATGTTGCTATTCCATGCCCTGTTTGGACTCAGCTCAGCTGCTTGGAGGGACCTGCTCCTTCTATAAAGGTGATGCTGCCATCTTCAGTGTGCGACTTCCAATCTTCCTTGAAAGGAAGAGAGATCATAGAGGGTCATGTGAGAAGTCTCAGAAACCAGGCCTAGTATATGACTCGTCATACACTGTGTTATGGTTCTGAGAACCATTATTTTCTTGAGATTGCTTTACTTTCATCATGAGTACTAATGATACACTCTTTAAGAAAGACCGTATTTTCATTAAAAATAGTTTTTACTCCATTCTTTGAAGATAGTAAAGCTCCTTTGCCTTGTTGAGTATGTGACTGAACTTACTAACTAAATGACTAACTATAAAACTATAGTTCTTTCCTAATACTTACTTAAAATCACAAATATTAGGTGTCTGCTTCATCTTATTATTGAAGTGTTCAGGAGTTGGAAGTAGTAAAGAGAATTCTGAGTGGAAACATCCAGTGTCTCATAGTAGGTTAATTGTCCAAAGTATAGTTTTCATCTATTGGTTGCCATTTCGAAATTCTTTGCCAACTCCTTCAGTGTAGGATAAAGTCAGTAGACTAGCATTCCATGATTCTGCTGCAGATTGATCTTTACTTTTCCCAAATATAATGCTAAATAAGATGTGATCCCTGTCCTCATAGACTTGCCTAATTGCTCCAGCCTAACTGATCCGCATGATTTAAACATAACATGTATAGTTTTGCCTTTTTATCTTTGCTTATGTAATTCTTTTTTCCCAGAGAATCCTTCCCCTTCAGCATATTCAAATTTTATCCTTTTCAAATCTCAACTCTGGTGATAATCTCCAATATGACTATTGTCCCTGTGTATGTTAGGTCATTTTAGTCTCTTTTCTCTGAGTGGCTCTGGCACCTAATTCATACTGTTCATTTATGAGGTTAATTTGTAATTATTAATAAATACTAATTTTCAACTTTTAATGTGTGCATCCCCCCATATATCCTATAAGGTTTTGGATGGCTAAAACCTTACCTCCATCCTCTGTGATTCATGTCCTTCCCCTGTGCAAAATACACTCCCTTCCTTCCAAGGATCCCAAAAGTCACATCCCATTCATTATACATCACCTCAGAGTCCAGAATGTCTGCATCAAAATAGATCCAATGTAGATGAGGTTCCTCGGGTATAGTTACTTACTAGTAAGTACAAACCCTCCAGTACAAGAATGCCTTGTTTTATTGTGCTTTGCTTATTGTGCTTCATAGATGTTGCATGTTTTCTAAATTGAAGGTCAAACCCTCCACCAGCAAAATGATTGCAACTCACTTTATTGCAATATTTGCTTTATTGTGGTATTCTGGAACCAAACATGCAGTATCTCCAAGGTATGCCTCTGAATCTGAAGACCTGTAAACTAAAGAAACAAATTGCCTATAGTCTCCACACCTCAATCCACACACACATCACCTACACACCCAACATATAATGATGAAACAGGAATAGGATAAATTGCTCTAGACCAGTGGTTCTCAACCTTCTGGCCCTTTAAATACAGTTCCTCATGTTGTGACCCCAACCATAAAATTATTTTCGTTGCTACTTCATAACTGTAATGTTGCTACTGTTATGAATCGTACTGTAAATAACTGATATGCAGGATGGTCTCAGGTGACCCCTGTGAAAGGGTCGTTTGACCGCCAAAGGGGTCGAGACCCACAGGTTGAGAACCGCTGCTCTAGACTTTCCTGTTCATAGGGGGAAATGAGAAGCACAAAGGAGTCATTGGTCTGTAGTGATTGTGAAATGTGAATGGGCAAACCTTGGAGGTTTTGATTAAACCTCAAGTTCTGGGAATAATTCTTTAGGCTTCCAGGCTTTGCTCTCTGAGCTCTGGGTTCCTGCCTCTGAGTCCTTTTTTATGTTATGTGGCATGTGTTTGCAGCTGAGTAGTTTTCTTACACTGCTTCCTGCCAGTAGAATTTTGTGGGTCCAATGGGCTCTTCATTTTTTACTGTCGCTGCTCCTGTTAATCCACTTTGCAGTGTGTTTGCTGACGTATTTCTGTCAAAAATTTTGTCAGCTTCCTGTGAATCACATTGGGGTTTATTCCACTAGATAAAAGCCATATCCAAGAATCTTTGAAAATACGGGCTTCTGCAGAGGTATTGAGGTACAATGCCCTCCAGCTTTCTAGAGGGCCTGTTGTTTGTTTAAGAGCATCTGTGATCTTTTAAATCTTTTTAAAGGACTTTTTGTGTAACATTAATACTGTGAGGTACCACCCTCCATCTTTCTGGGGTCTTAACAGAAGGTTTTACAGTTACTCCCTTGGCTATATTTTTAGGCCATGTGTGTCAGTGTCCTGGAAGCCCTTCTTAACTTTAGCATCTTTTGCCATCTTAAGAGACAGAATTTTCAAAACCAGTCATGTCCTGGTTCTTTTTTTTGTTTTAACAGTTCTTTAGTTTATCTCTCTTCTCTTGCGTTTTACTGTGAGCAAGAAGAAAAAAAAATTGGTATCACCTACGACACTGCCTTTGCTTAGAATCTCAGCTAGGTCATTCATATTATTAAGTATATTTCCTATTTCCCATATTACTGAAGGTGATAGTGTTGCTAAGTTTCTACTACTACTTAACAAAGGTCCTCCTTCCTCCAGTTTCCAAAAACATTTTTCCTCACTTCCCTTTGAGCCCTCATGGGAAGCATACTAACAGTCTGTTCAAGGCAATTTAGGCCTTCTTTAACATGCTCCTCAAAATCCTTCCAACCTCTACCCAATGCCAAGTTCTAAAGCTACTCCCACATTGTTAGGTATTTATTAGGGCAGCATCCCACTTTCAGCTTTCAAAATTTGTTCTAGTTACCTCTTCCATTGTTCCAAATTACCCCAAAACTTAGCAGCTGAAAGCAACATTTATTGTCTTTACCGTCTGGATGCGTCAGGAATCTGGGTGCGGCTTAACTGAGCCCTCTGCCTCAAGTCCCTCAGGGGGTTGTAATTTTTGGGCTCATTTGAAGGCTCACTAGGGGAGAATCTACTTCCTAGCTCACTAAGTGTGGTTGTTGGCAGGATTCAGTTCAGATCCTGTTAGATCAAGCATGTCAAACTCATGGCCTGCGGGCCGCATGCCTCATTTATTTAAACAAGGCATGCGGCCCCTCAGCTGTGAATTTGACATGCTTGTGTTAGATGGAGGCATCTTTGAATGCTTTCTTGTGAGCCTCTTTCATAGGGCAGTTGACAACATGTCTAGCTGGCTTCCATCACAGCAAAAGATGGCTAGCAAGACAGAAACGAGAATCTTTTTGTAACCTAATCTTGGAATTAACACCCCATCATTTTTGCCCTATTTTCTTTGTCAATAACAAATCATTAGGTCCAGCTTACACATGAGGGGAGGAAATTATACAAGGACTTGAGAGGCAGGGATTATTGTAAGCCATCTAAGCAGCTGTATGATCTTTGGCCACTATTTGCATGTGATGGCGAATCTACATTTCTTGGATTTGAAATTAGAAAAGTGTCTAGAACACACCAGTGAAATAATATTTACATAACACATTTAACAGTTTCTTTACAACCTTATAACCTACTGAGACTTGAAAATAATTTTATGAGCTTAACTTCATACAAACCACGTTTTGTTCCCACACAAATGTAACTGTTGTTCATATACTCCCATGAAGTATGATGGAATATAAGACTTTTAAGAGATTTTTGTTATCAAAGCATATCTGACTGTTGGCAAAATAAATTATGTGCCCTTGAAATGAAATGAGTTTACTTACCCTAGATTAATTTTAAGGTAATAATATTCTTTTATTTTTAAGTGTAGTTTTTGAATTATGGTAGAAGAGGTAGTATTGCTTATACCTTAGTATAGTAAATATGGGTAGTATGGCTCCAGAGTAATAATAATACAAATATACACATGAAGAAATATCCTACTATTTGGTATTGGAGGAGGGGGACTGGGAAGAATAGTTGCAATATCCTATACCTGACCTCGAAAATATGTTTTCATTTAAAGATGGAAACCTTGGAAGCTTTTTTCTTTGTTAGTCATAGTTCAATGGATTCATTATTCCTGCACCAAACCTCCTTAACTCTTGGCACAGAAACCACTTTAACATATAAGAATGGCATATTGGCCTGAAAAATAATTGTTATTTTTTTCTCATAGATTATTTTAGCATTATTTGGTTCAAAACCTGACTTTGTGTAATCTGATAAATACAGTGATGTTTAGGTTGAAAATACAGTCAGTGTATTTAAGTAATATTTTCTTTTTTTATTGTTTACATTATTATTGATATCCCCATTTTTCTCTCTCTGCCCCCCTCCCCTTCCCTCTGTCCAACACCAAACTGTGTTCTGTGTCTGTAGGTTATGCATATATATTCTTTGGCTAATTCCCTCACCTTCTTTCATCTAATTAAGTAATTTTTTCATTTGTGGATTTTAGGAACATGATATTTCTTTCATGTTTACCAGAATGTATGGTGGTATATTTTGTAGTTATGCTAAAAAGCTTAAAATGGAGTGGAGGAAGAGTGTGTATAGATGCCTAAAACTTTTTATTTCAGAGTTGCAACTAAATCTCTGATTGTTGTGTGATACTGAGAAAAATTGCCAACAACAAAAACTGTTATTAAATAACATTGTGGATATCCAGCCATGTTTTAGTATACACAGTTCCTTTCTAGATTATTCCTAATATATGAAATTATCTCTCTTTTACAGGTAATATAACATTACAAAGCAAGATGGGTAACATCACAGTAGGTATGTGGTAAGATGCTAATTGGTAAATTTTGCATGCTTTTTAAAATGACTATATTTGTGGTATTTTGTTAGGGTAAATAAAGTCTACAGTTTAGCTGATGGCTTGATAGGATCCTGGTGTGCAAGTTAAATATAGGCAGACCCAATGTATGAATGTGTGAAATTATTTCCGGAAACTTATTGTAATTTAAATTTATAATTACAAAATTTATTATCCTATAAATATTGTATAATTATTGGTTTGGCAACAAAAGGGTTAGAATTCTGATTTCACCGCTTTCTATACATGGGCAAATTACCTAAACTCTCTGTGCCTCAGTTTCCACATCTGAATAAGTAGAAATAATTGTAAGGACCTATTATATAAGGATTAAACACGATTTGTAGTTTAACACAGTGTCTGACATGGTAAAAATCTATAATAATAAAAGCATAATATGCTAATTAGACCAGACAGCTGAACAACCTTCTGGATGAAGCCGGGGCTGCGAGGGCCGAGCCCCTTGAACGAATTTCGTGTCTTGGGCCTCTAGTTTAATAAATAATAGTCATTTTTATTATTGTTATTGTCCTAACCCTAGGCCAGAACTAATAGTAGTTAATGGTACGTTAGACCAAATCACTAAATCACTGCATGTGATGCTGTGCCTGCTGAAGGAAAAAGTTCAGATGTCAAGATAGTTTATATAAAACTTTCTCTATCCCAGTAGCATCTGCTTGCCTATAAGGTGAAGGCACACTCTGAGCTCTCTGAGTGGTGGTTGTTTTTTAGTCCCTAGAGCAGCGGTTCTCAACCTGTGGGTCGCGACCCCTTTGGCGGTCAAACGACCCTTTCACAGGGGTCGCCTGAGACCATCCTGCATATCAGATATTTACATTACGATTCATAACAGTAGCAACATTACAGTTATGAAGTAGCAACGAAAATAATTTTATGGTTGGGATCATAACATGAGGAACTGTATTTAAAGGGCCAGAAGGTTGAGAACCACTGCCCTAGAGGGTAGGGGGTTTGGGATGGGAAACTGGGATCTTTGTGGAGCAAAAGATACGAACTGATGGTGGTCAGTTCTTTTTCATGTGCTTATTATTCATTAGTATACCTTCCTTTGTGAAATTTTGTTTATATTTTTTGCCCATTTATTTGTCTTTATTTTGGAGCTGTAGGAGTTCTTTATATATCATGGGAACAAATCCTTTGTCAGACATCGTTTCCCTGTATTTTCTCTCAGTCTGTGCCTTACCTGTATTTTTTTAATGGTAAGCAATCAGAGACAATGAGAAGTTAGAACTGCCTTGAGACAACAAGTTTTTTCATTTCTATAAGCAATAATTTTATAACTAAGTGTATATTACTTGGCCCTTAGGAAAAGAGCTGGTTGTAAATTGGTAAATCTCTTTGTCTTAAATAGAATCAAATTTTATATTTTGTGGGGGGTTTTTTTGCAGAAAAACTCATTTCCTCTAAACAAAATGGTTTGTTCTAGATATTGGCAGACTGTGTGTAAGGACCACGTAGTAAATATTTTGGCTTTCTGGCCACATAGCCTATCTGCACTATAAAACTCTTGTCATTTTAACAAAAGCAGCCATTGATAGTACACGAGTAAATGGGTGTGTTTATGTTTCAATAAAACTCTGTTAATCAAAACAAGAGGTGGCTTTAGTTTGGTCGCCCTGCTTTAGAGCCTAAAACCCATTGTTGGTATGATTCTGGAGAAATTTTGGGTTTTATGTCTTAATACCAAAGGTGACAAGTGGATAATGTTTATTTGAAATTCCTTGATTGGTTGATTTGTATTTTTCTTGAAAGATTTACTTCAGAAAGTTGAAGGCAGCTTTTATAACTCATGGCAACCTAATTAAAGCCTACTGAGGCTCTGGCTGGGTAGCTGAGTTGGTGGAATGTCATCCCATACACCAAAGGGGTTGCAGGTTTGATTCCTGGTCAGGGAACATACCTAGGTTACAGGTTCAGTCCCCGGTAGGCATGTATATGGAAGGCAACCAATCCATATTCCTCACTCTATCTCTCACCCCCTCACCCCCATCCGTCCCTCCATCCCTCCCTTCCTCTCTCTCTAAAAATAAATGAAAACATATTCTCTGGTGAGGATTAAAAAATAAAGTCTACTGAGTAACTTGTATTTTGAGGAATTGAGATGAGTGGAAGCAAAACAGTTACAAAGGAACAAAAAGTGATTTGTGGGAACCTGAGAGGGAAATATGTTAGAATAGTGGGAGCTTCAAAATATTGGAATGGGTGTTGAGAAAAGGTTATATAATATTATCCAATTGGAATATTAATAGACAAGATTAATTAGGTATTATTCTGTCTGATTTCAGGAAAATAGATTGTGTCCTCTCCAGGATTTCTTTATTAAGAAATGGTTCTTTATTTCTAGTTTAGATAATATAATTGATCAGCTTCTAAGTAATCTCATCAGTCATTTGGATTTTGTATGTGCATTCTAATCTACCTCCCAAAACGCTGTTCTTCCTAATTTTCCTTAATACAGGGTTCTCTCAGAAGCTGAAGTACTATAAAAGATTTTATTATCAACACCCTGATTTTCCTTGAAATCATTTTTTAAAATTAATTTTAGAGAAAGAGAGAGAAACATTGATTTGTTGTTCCACTTACAAATTCATTGGTTGTTTCTTGAACCCGAAACCTTGGTGTATCAGGAACCAACTGAGCTACCTGGCCAGGGCTGAACTCATAATTTTACAAATAATAACTTTCTTCTGGAACGCCAGGTCATGTTCTATTTTAAAAAGGAGAGAGCAGATCTTGTAATGGTGAGATAGGGGTATTAATAGAGTTGCTCACCTCACTTTACTTTCTCTGTACTATGTGGCCTCTTTTGGAAGGCATTGCTGGTAATTTTATCTTTAAAAAAAGAACATCTTCATTTGGAGGGAGGGGTTGCCTTGTGTGTTTTTCATAACCCGGCCTCCTCTGTTTTCCTCCCCAAATATAAAATACCTGGGCAGGACATTAATTTAGAAAACTTTACTTGAAGGGACCTTAAATTCTGCCTTTGCAAATCCTTTACTATAATATAATGATTGCAATGAAAAGTTATTTAGAGTCAAATTAAGGTTTATATATTTAGTCCTATATATAAAATTTGTTCCTTACTCTTGTAATTAGTGCAGGTTTAGAAGTATAAGAATCAAGTTGCAAAAATTAAGAAATATCTTTGGTATTGCTGTTCCTTAGTATTTACATGTTGAACTGGAGGTAGAATTATAAAAATTCAGAACTTTCTGAAGATGTTTGACCAATTTTTAGAGAATTCTCCTTTATCTGAAGGAAAATAGCAAAGTTTGGAATTTTAGCCTTTTAAGCTTATTTGTTATTCTCTGCTATTAGCAAGGCACATATTACAAATACCTATTTCTTTGGCTGCATACAGTGTTAGCTGGTAGATGGCATCGGCTTTTTCCTGTTGTATGTGTAATTTTCAGGAAAATTCAGTGGTCTCTGTCAGACCAATAAGACCTTTGTCCCAAATTGTGATGATACAAAACTGTAGAGTCTACTTATTCCAACACTGTCTGGACTAACAATTTCTGTTCACTTCTTTGACCCTAAAGCTTTATTTCCCTTAAGGTTTCCTCCAAGAGCTATAGCATTTCTCTATTACATGAATCTCCAAAAATAAGAAATTCTGTGAATGAAGCCTTAATTTGACTCTTGATTGTTAATTTTTAGTTCCAATCACTTGTATTATAGAAAACAAAAAGTTAGTGTATGTTTTTGCTATATAGCTTTTTCAATATGACCTTTGCTTTCTCTTTGGAAAGTATATATTGAATTAAAATTTTTTTTTGATAGCCTCCAAGGGATGAGACATTATCAGAACTTAACACTGATAACATAAGAATGTAATTAGTGCAGTGATGGCAAACCTATGACACGCGTGTCAGAGGTGACACGCGAACTCATTTTTTTGGTTGATTTTTCTTTGTTAAATGGCATTTAAATATATAAAATAAATATCAAAAATATAAGTCTTTGTTTTACTATGGTTGCAAATATCAAAAAATTTCTATATGTGACATGGCACCAGAGTTAAGTTAGGGTTTTTCAAAATGCTGACACGCCGAGCTCAAAAGGTTCGCCATCACTGACTTAGTGGCTTAGAATATAATTATTTATCTGTGTTTATTTTCCATTTGCTTGGGGAGGAGGAGAGAAATGAAAAGTATTATTTCTAAACCACATACAAATTTTGTATATTTTCCCCCTAGAGAAAGCAAGAAATCAAACTAATGTTTCAAATATCTTATTTTGCTCATCTTGGGATAATGCACACATTGTGTAGTCCACATTTTTTATCGTTATATATTTTTACTTGGCTTCTTTAAGATGCAGTAAGGGGCTTTAAAAGGAGTTTCTGTTGGTACCTGAGGAGAAAAACACTCATCTTTATCCAGCTATCCTATGCTATTTATCTCTAGTGGCTTAATTTCGCAGTATTTTATATCTTTAGACACTTAAAAGATTAAATAAATGTTGAATCACTATATTGTACACCTGAAACTAATATAATATTGTATGGCAACCATACTTAAATTTTAAAAATTGGATAAATTGGTTCTAATAAAGGCCATTTTCTAGTATAGGTTAGAGGTAAATTATTATAAATTACCTTAGAGTCAGATTTTAAACAGTTTATTCCCCAGTTGTTGTCTTTGAGTCATCTAAAATTTAAAGAAAAATGTTGCTTCCTTTATGAGTATACAAATGTTTTTTTCTCCATATTTTATAAGAAGTACTTCCTCTGTCCCATAATAATAGTAGCAAGTGAATATTTAAACGGGAATTATTGGCGAATACAGCTGTAAGTTATGTTGTAGTGCAAAATTGTGAAGCCTTCAATCAAAATCAATGTTTCATGACATCTGTCATTTGTTTTGACACATCTTTCAATTTTTAGGTTAATCTAATTATTACGAATTATAACTATTTTTCTAATTTCATCCGCTGA